GACCGGGGAAGTTCTCACTCCGTCCGCTGTGAGACTAGTGCTCGCTGGACGGAAAGGGGAAACGCAAAAGGGGAAAATGAGTGCTTGCCCGGGAGATTTTCTCACGCGGCATCTGCTGGAGACCAAATGCTCACTGGATGGAAAGAGAAAACGTTGGAGCTCGACCGGGGAAGTTCTCACTCCGTCCGCTGTGAGACTAGTGCTCGCTGGACGGAAAGGGGAAACGCGAAGGGGAAAATGAGTGCTTGCCCGGGAGATTTTCTCACGCGGCATCTGCTGGAGACCAATGCTCACTGGATGAAAGAGAAAACTCAACCGGGGAGGTTCTCATTCCGTTCGCTGTGAGACTAGTGCCCGCTGGACGGAAGGAAACGGGAAATAGCGAAAGTGAGTGCCTGCCCGGGAGATTTTCTCACGCGGCATCTGCTGGAAACCGAATGCTCACTGGATGAAAGAGAAAACAGGAGCGCTCTACCGGGGGGGGCTCTCACTCCGTCCGCTGTGAGGCCAATGCTCGCTGGACGGAAAGAGAGGACAGAAAAGGAAAAGGGGGGTTCTATTAATTAGAACGGAGTTCTATTACTTAGTTAATACGTTATGGAAAGAAGGGGAAAAACCGGGGAAGGGTAGGTTGTAAGAAGCGTGGAATGATTTAGAACTTTTCCAGGCGGTAAGGTAGGCTTGGAGGGTCCTGGGGGCGACTGCGTGAAGGATGGTGTTGAGTGATGAGTCGAGCAGGGTTTTTAGCGGGTGGTTTACGGGAATATCAACTCTGAATAGCGAGGTACCGGAGTAGGGATACGGTCCGCCTCCGGAGCCAGCGCCCTGAATTTCTGAAACAGAAAGCGAGACAGGGAGTCAGCGATTTGATTCTCCGACCCGGGGATATGCTTAGCGACGATAATGAATTGGTCGCAAGCTGCAATCCAGGTGAGGCGCCTTAAGAGTGGCATCAGAGCGGGTGAATGGGAACGGCCTCTGTTAATGCAGTGCACGGTCGCCTCATTGTCGCAATGCACTAGGATGCTTGTAGAGGACCATTCCTTCCCCCACAGGAAAGCTGCTACTACGAGGGGGTAGAGCTCGAATAGCGCCGAGGATTGCGGTAATTGCTGGAACTGGGGTGGCCACGGAGCCGCGAACCAACGACCTTGGTAGAATCCCCCGAACCCGATTGAGGGGGCGGCGTCTGTGACCAGTTGGATGTCGGTGGGGGACGCGACGAGGTTTTTGTGTAAAAACGATAGGCCGTTCCACTGTTTTAGAAATGTTACCCATAGCCTAAGTTCGTCGCGGCATGCATGGGTTAAGGAAATGGGGTCCTCTAGCGAGTGGACGGAGGACGCGAGTGAGAGGAGATGCGATATAAAGGGGCGACCCTGCGGGATGATGCGCATCGCGAAGTTTAAATGGCCGAGCAGGGACAAGAGTTCGCGTTTCGAGAGAACCGATTTCTCGAGGAAGGTAGAGGAGACGAGAATTATTCGGTCGATTTCCTCCTTTGGCAGGGAGGCTTGGAATTCCCTAAAATCCAAGTTAATCCCTAGGAACTCGATGGACGTCGCGGGGCGCATGGTTTTCTCCTCTGCGAGGGGGATTCCGAGCTCGGAGAAGACGTTTTGGACTGAGAGGAGGTGCGCGGCCGGGATGGCGTTGGGAGGCGAGATTATTAGAAAATCATCTAGCAGGTGAATGAGGTGGGGGATGGCGTAGTTGTTTGACAAGATCCAGCAGACTGCTTCTGATAGCATGTCGAATATTTTAGGGCTGCTTTTGCATCCGAACGTTAGACGTACGGCGAAATAGTATTTCTCGAGCCAGCGGACTCCAAAGAGATGCCATGAGTCGGGATGGATGGGCATGACTTTGAAAGCGGATGTAACGTCAACTTTGGCCAGCCAGGCACCCCGACCCGCGATTTTAATCATGTAGATGCCTTGTCTATGCCGTGGAATTTAAGCGAAGATTCGTCGAGAGGGGACAGGCTGTTAACACTTGGGAACGGGGAATTGCGTGGGGCTGACAGGGTGATAAAAATGCGTTTTTATCTCGTCCGGGTGGATGGCCGTTCGAAATGCATGCGTGAAAATTTTAATTTATTTATTATTATTTTTTATGGGAGTCGTCGAATAATTCGGATGTTTTATTTGCGGGTTTAGGCTGGACGTACGCCGCCGCAGAACTACAAATATGCATGGAACGGCTGCGTGCTCTATGGCATCCGCCCGCGTTGAAATTATCACCGATCTGCCTGCCTTCGATAAGAGCGGAGACCTGGGTTCAGTGGGTTGCGCTGGTGGTTGCTGTACGAGGTACGTAGCGGGTGGACAAATAGGGTTGCTCGAACCGGAGTGGGGAGGAGGGGAGGGGGAATGGCGGCTGGAAGGATGAAGAGTGAGCTTGCGCAGCGAGCGGGGGCGGGCCCGCGCTGGTTTGGAGCTGTGGGGCTGCGGGCCTGCGGGCCACTGCCGGTGGGCGGGGTTGTGCCGCTGCCAGTGGGCGGGGTTGGCACCTGGAGGGTAGAGAGACTGGAGGCGAGGGTTAGCCTGTACTGCTGGCTGCAAAAGCTTCGCGCTAGTGCCCGGGGCCGGAGCTCGGGGCCGCTGGAAAGGGAGAGAGTTATTAGGGGTATAAGGCTGAGCTGTAAAAGGGGAGCCGCTGGGCTCGTCCGAATGCGGCGCTGCGGCGGCAGAGGCATTGGCGGAGCAAAGCGAGCCGTGTCCTGAGCAGGAGGACGACGGAGTTGTCTGGGGCGGTATATTTTGAGCCCTGCGGGTTTTGCCCTGCCTGCGGGCCGGTTTGGGAGACATATAGGTCGTACGGCTCCGCTTTGTGCGTCTTCCTTGAGACCTGTGGGTCCGACTTGCCCAGCGCTTGTCTTAGCCCGGCTACGGTCCAGTTCCCGACGGGAGGGATCGTCGGGATGGTCGAGCGGTAGGAGGAGGCCGGGGAAGAAGGTGGTGGTTTTGCTGGGGGCGGCGAAGCCTGGTACCGGCGTCCGGGTCAACGCGCGGATGGTCGGGCCGGAGTGCGGCCGCGAGAAGCCCTGGGCTCAGGAGTGGCGTCCGGCATGACCGAAATGGTCGGGAGACCCGCGACTTGCGGGGGGACATTCCTGGGATTGCTGGTGCCTTCCGCGGAGGAAGCGCTTTAGCGAGACGAGTAGTATCTGGGCGAGAGAAGCTGCTGCGAGCTGTCAGCGGAGCGAGGTAAGACTGCTGAGTCTATATGTACCCTCTAGCTGTTGATTGCTGAGGGCTTCCACCTGTAATTAATTAGCTGGAAGTCCTCCTCCCGAACCTTGTTAGTAAACCTAATTTGTTCAAAGGTTTTTTACCCCTCCCTATTTCCTGATGTCCCATTCACTAACACGGCTTTGCCTGATCGTAACAACAATGCATTCGGACAGACGAAAATGAAACCACATTTTGTAGGAAGAATTTCACCGAATTTGGGTCATAGACCAATCGATCAGTTTTTTATATATTTTTTATTTAACCTTTATTTAACCAGGTAGGACGATGGAGAACACATTTTCAATTGCAACGGCAACCTGGCCAAGATAAGGTGAACAAATTTGCAAATAGCAATGGGATTCTACAGGGTCAAATTATACAGGATGAGGTAAATGTAGTTCAGTTGAGCAGCATTTATAAGCCAATAGCAAATATATAAAATATACAATGAGTATCAATATAAGGGAGGTAAGATTAATGTGTGTCTAACAGGTTGGTCATTTAAGTGCATGGATTATATGACCGAGGTTATGGGGGAAAGTGCATTTGAGCATACCTGAGCAAATGGAGTGATTCAAGAATGTCAACAGGTATGAGAGCAGTGCAGGTGATAGAGATCCAGTGTGCATAAAAGGGCTGTGGCATAAGTGATAAGAGGTTAAAGACAGTTAACACGTACAGAGATCGGACAGATCAGCTTTTGCAATATTCATTGGTCCTTAAGTACAATTACTACTAGTTTTATTTAGTTTTTGACATGTCACTAGAATACCATTGTTCTGAATGATGCTATGGTGCCTTTGACAACTAAAATACTTTGAAATTATGCTAAATTCATCAATTTAGTTTATTGTCACATTAGCAAATCTGTATTGAACGTGAATGAATATGTCTAAAAAATGTAGGTATATATGTATATATACATATATATCCTGCACGTCTAGCTATAAATTGTTTCTCTCTACGACAACAAATGTAACATACCTCACATTGCATTACATCAAGCAAAAAATGTGAATTCGTTTTTGTAAATTACGGTTGGATGGAAAAACCAACAGGCTGGAAGCTCTACAGGAGCAAGGTTGAGCTTTTGTGTGCTTATTTTTCAAGGTCAAATTTCTACCACAGTGATCTTTATTTTAGCAGGGAAGTCAATTTGGAACACATTTGCATTAATAAGAATCACCTGAAGCATCAGAATCATTTTTTTTTAACTAATGCTTATTTTTAATCTAGAATTCACAGTGAATCTTTAATTTGACATTTTATTCGGGGGTAATCGAACACTGGAAGAATGTTTATCGGACATTGCTGAATGAAATCTAAATATTCTGCTTTGTGTCTAACCTTCCACGTGGTGTGCCACATAAAATATATGTAGCACTGTGTTTATTCAGTATTCAATATTTTTTCTTGGAATATTGTTTTCATTGGACATCAATTGAATTTCTCTCATAAAAACAGTGTATGTATGAAATGCTTTCTCCCTGACATCTTCTAATGTATAACATTCTGTGGACGCTTCAGCTAATTGTAATGTTTTTATACAATGTTGTTTTTTGGGGCAGAAATTGGCATCTTCACATATGAAGGCATTTAAAGACTACAGGTGTAATAGTTGTTCAGTAAAAATTGGAATTTCACATGGGCAAATAATAATTAACATTGAAAGTACATTCATTTTAAGTTGGCCAAACATAAGTGTAGAAACGGAGAAAAAAGATGACAGATTTTATTTGGTAGCTCAGAAATGTTAAACTAATGGAGTTGGCAGCTCAGTGGTAGAGTGCATGCTTTGTATTTAAAATGTCCTGAGTTCGATCCCCAGCTTCTTCCCAGAATACTGTTGCAAATGAGAAATTGGCCTACTTGGTTAAATAAAAAATTATAATACTTTTTTAACTGACTTATCATATGCCTTTAGTGTATAGCAAAAACAGAATTGAACCTAGGACATCGCCACCATTGTCACATGTCGTGCGGGCCTACGTGGATGTTTTTCTATGCCATTTATGCCCATGCCATCTAGCTCAGCTGTTGCTCCGGAGCCTATGGAGGTGGAAGGCGCCGTGCCTCGGGGGAGACTGCACAAAGCAGAGGGTGGGAAGTCTGACACTTCCGCCTCACACAAAGTGAGCACACCACACATCCCATCGGAGCCCTCTAATGGCTACACCACTATTTCTGATGTTTTCCCAGATATTTTTACGCATTCCCAGTGTACGGCACTCGTAGATTTCGGCGCAGCTGGGAATTTTATTGACAGTTCGTTTGCACGCCAACGGCATATTCCTCAGGTGCCGTTGACCTGTCCTCGACCCATTACGGCCTTAGACAGTAAATTGGGTTCGGGTGTGGTTACGCTGGTCACGGTGCCAGTTACCATGGTTACGCAGCACACACGCACAGAAAATATCCCTTTTCATGTTTTAGACTCACCTGATTTCCCTGTCGTGTCAGGCATGCCATGGCTCTCGAGACACAAGTTCCACAGTTCCCGTGGCCTCCGAGGATGGGTGGTCACAGGAGTGGCAGATTCTCCGCCTCCTCTAGTTGATTTTTTGTGCAGGAGAAAGTTTGGGGCTTGCACCCATGCATTGACAACAAAGCGCTTAATAACATGACAGTTAGGTATCGTTATATCCTGTCCCCCTGATTTCTTACGTGATTGAGTCAATGCATGAAAAAAAATAGAAAATTAGATGTCAGAAGCGCGTATGATTTGGTTCGGATCTGGGAGGGAGATGAGTGGAAGACAGCCTTCAGTACCACCACAGGGCACTATGAGTACACTGTGATCCCATGTGGGTTAATGAATGCGCTGTCAGTCTTCCATTCCTTTGTGAATATTGTCTTCAGCGACATGCGTGCTGGTGTACATCGATGACATCTTGGTGTATTCGACTTTGCCGGCCGAACATTTCTCCCTTGTTCGCAGAGTACTGAAGCAGCTGTTGGCGCATGATCTACATGCCAAGGCGGAGAAGTGTCTGTTCTTTCAGCGAGCCGTCTTGTTTTTCTGTGGATCCACATTTCGACTAAGGGAGAGGAGATGGAAGTGTACCGCGTGGCAGACGCACGTAATTGGAGAACCCGACAGAAGGGTAACCATGTACGCTACAAGAACGTATGACATTCTACTTGATAAGAAGAGGAGGAAAAAAAGATTCTGTGGTCTGATGAAACCCAAAGTGAATGCCAAGCAAGGATCCTGGTGAAGACAAGGTGTTCCTGATTCCCTGGCTAATGCCATTATATGACCTCAGACTGGGACAAAACTCTTTCTGTAAGACAATAACATAAAGCACACAAACAAGACTGTGAAGAAATTGCTATGATTCAAGCCAGTGAATGTTTTTGAGTTGCTAAGCCAGAGCCCTGAACTTGAATCCAGTTAGACATCAGAGGAGATACCTGAAAATCACAGTTTGACATAACTCAAAAGAATGGAAGAAATTACCCAAGTCTACACAACACCAGGTTTGCAACTGTTACCCACAAAACCCCAGAAGACTAGAGGAGGGCGAGGTCGTAACATGAACCTGTTTACCCAAATTATAAAATACACAAAAAGCATTGCACAACAACTACAACCAAACCGCAGAACTACCAATACCTAGCAAAAACAATAACAGCATTTATGTGGCCAAGCCCTGTGACATTAGAAACATTCCCGCTCATATCACAGGAAGTACCCACCGTGGCACCACTAGACACTGGTCTATTCCCAGAAGAAACTGTGCTACACTCTGTGCTACACTCTGTGCTACACTCTGTGCTACACTCTGTGCTACACTCTGTGCTAAACTCTGTGCTACACTCTGTGCTAAACTCTGAGCTACACTCTGTGCTACACTCTGTGCTACACTCTGTGCTACACTCTGTGCTACACTCTGTAGTACACTCTGTACTACACTCTGTGCTACACTCGGTACTACACCCTGTGCTACACTCTGCTCGGGAGGAACCAACCATAAGTTATAAGTTAACACAAACTTGTCTGTCAAAATGGTCGCTTGTGACAATGACACAACCTTCTGCTCATTTAAATTTGTTTCTAGACGTTCGGACAACCTTTTTTAAATTATTGTGTATAGTGAGGCAACATCAGTAGCCTTACTAGCAGCACCATCGCTCAAACATCTCCTTTTAACGCCAAAGGCAATGGACAACAACCACAAACAGACTGCAAAACTATCGTGCACTGAGAGGGTTTAATATGCCAAACAAAAAATGTGGGGATGGGACGAATTAACACGAAGCTCCAAAACACTGTTCAATTTTTCGAGCTCTACTGTTTCGATGCAGTGTACCAGAAGCTCGCTTCAAACTACGATGCCACGTGACCAATAGCGTTCAAATCTTCGGATGTCACAAAATCACCTTTGAGTTCTAACAGGTGTCGTTTTTGGAGAGGCTGTTTCGAAACTGCGTCCTCTAAAGGCCGTAAAAATCTGTTCACTTTGATGGCTTTCAGTAAAAGTGAAAGACGCATGCGATGAGAAATTAGAGAGAAGTATATGATAGCTCAAGTTAATCAAGAGAGTCATAGAATAGTTATTTGACAGGAGTCACAGAACAGTTGTTAGAATTATACTAAGATAATTATTTAGAGTGTAGGTTAGCTAGTTATTTGAGAGTCATAGAACAGTTGTTAGAATTATACTAAGATTTAGTGAGTGTAGGTTAGCTAGTTATTTGAGAGTCATAGAACAGTTGTTAGAATTATACTAAGATAATTATTTAGTGAGTGTAGGTTAGCTAGTTATTTGAGATTCATAGAACAGTTGTTAGAATTATACTAAGATAATTATTTAGAGTGTAGGTTAACTAGTTATTTGAGATTCATAGAACAGTTGTTAGAATTATACAAAGATAATTATTTAGTGAGTGTAGGTTAGCTAGTTATTTGAGAGTCATAGAACAGTTGTTAGAATTATACAAAGATAATTATTTAGTGAGTGTAGGTTAGCTAGTTATTTGGGATTTATAGAACAGTTGTTAGAATTATACTAAGATAATTATTTAGAGTGTAGGTTAGCTAGTTATTTGAGAGTCATAGAACAGTTGTTAGAATTATACTAAGATAATTATTTAGAGTGTAGGTTAGCTAGTTATTTGAGAGTCATACAAGAGGACTTAATTTAAGAAGTAGACAATATATTTATTAAGAGTGACCTTTTCATAATTGATTTATTTATTAAGAGTCACCTTTTCATAATAACAACTATACATAGTTCTAATGAACAGCTTTTGAAGGACCAAACAATTCTTTGCCACTAGTACAAAATCCAAACTGAGAAAGGAAGGAGTAATTACACTACACACACATACTCACACACACGACAGAGGGAAATAATATCGGTGTCAGACAGGAAGCAAGACGAGGGAAGGAGATGTGAGTGAATGAAGACGTTCACAAAACTTTACTGCTTTAAAAGGACATGATCACTTGATTGATGATGCCTGAAGCATCGTTGGACCAAGCTCTTTTCAAACCAGAATGCAATACCCCACACCACACAAATAAGTAAAGACCAAATACCAAGCGAACGTGCCTTATACTGTGGTGCAACCGAAATATTCCAGGCCTCAGGTCGCAACGTCTCTGATTCGATCCTTTTTGTTGCAGTTGTTGAACAAAAAATGTCAGCCTTTTTTCGTTGTCAAATTACAGTTCTAATGCAGTTAGGATTTTTATTGGTGTTTATTATTCATTCATTATTCACATTACCTCGAATGCAACGATAACGATTGAGGAAATGGCTGGTGGCCGCGAACCCCACGAAACGATGTGCTGCTCCGGGTTATTCAATGCATCTAAATCAAACATGTCATATTCCATTTTGTCCAGCAGATGTCCCTGTTGTGCAGTGTGTTGTAAAGCTTTGAGCGTTTTCTTTAAACAATTGCCTCCGTGGTTCAGAAAGCCTCAGTTTCCCATCGCTAACACTATGTGCAAGTACTTATTATACCCATGGAAACCTCACCTAAACATATTTCCCCTGCTGCACATACACAAAATCACCCTCCACATAGCGAAACTCCACAATGAAAACCAAGGGAAAAAACTTGAACCTGCTAAGGGCTTTCCCGAATGGCTGCCACAAAGTTGGAAGCACCAACATGTTTAAAATATCTTTATATCCTGTAGCATTACCCTTCACTGGAACAAGGATGCCTTGCTAAACCCATAAAACACAGCCCCAGATCCTTATCCCTCCTCCAACAAACTAAAACTTTTACAAGACTTTTACAGGACTGCATACACTTGCTTGGCCCGGGAAACCCATTTCGTGAAGTTTCCGACACACAGCTCTTGTACCGATGTTGCCTCCAGAGGCAGTTTGAAACTTTGTTATGAGGGTTGCAACAGATCATAGGCGTTTTTTACACACTGAGCGCTTCAGGATATGGTGGCTCCTCTCTGCTTTTTTTATACATTGGCAAAAAAGTAATCCTAAAATGTATTGTGTTTAGATTAATGGCAAAAATAAATAGAATCAATAATAAATTTGGTTCCAAACACAACACTCAAAATGCTTTCCAAAACTGATCCAACTCTGAAGTCGAATAGGTCAATGCTTGTGAGAGCTTTTGCAGGCATCCAGTATGCTTTAAGAAATCCCCAGGGGATGCTGGAGACTTTGTATCACACATGGGGCTTCCAAGCCCCTCATCACACATTGAATTGTTCACATTTATTAAAGAGTGTTAGCAATCAAAATTCAGAACATAGCTTTATCAAACAACCCTTGATCCTTGTTTTCTTTCACCCATATTCAATTACGAAATCTATTGAAGGCCAGTCCTGAAAAATAATTGAATTTGAAAGA